GTAGGTGGGATTACAGGCGCCTGCCACCACGCCTGGCTAATTTTGCATTTTTAGTAGAGACAGGGTTTCTCCTGCCCGCTTCAGCCTTCCAAAGTGCTGGGATTACAGGTGTGAGCCACTGTGCCTGGCCAATAAAACACTTTTAAGAATTTTGTCATGATTTCTTAAATAGGCTGTACTTAATACTGCACTATAACTCAACACACTCTTAGAGGTGATGTTAGTGGACCTATTCTACTATATGCTAAACTGAACCACACCATGAGCTTTTATAAAAGGTTTTCTGCTTTCTCCCTTGCCAGACTGTTAACCACCACTTTCCCCACTAGTCCCATCAGCTGGCTTGTAAAGTAACTTCTCTTAATTACTACTTTAATCTGCTTTGAGCTAGGGAACTAAACACTGAAGGTTTCAGGTACTCAACACATACTGTATTTATTTAGTATTGTTTCAAGACCTGTACTAGACACACAATGGCTCATTCTCTGGTGGCTAACATTCCAAGTGTGTACATATTATGGTAAAATATAGGTAAAAGCAGCTGAATGAGGGTCTGAAGGGCTCTCCAGAGAAAAGTGTATTATTCTTGGGGTGTGGACTTTCTGTATTTTGACAACTCTATGACCATTTTTTTTTTTGCTAACAAACGAAGGTGCTGAAAAGCTGACCTCAAGCATGCAATCATTAACACTTAATACTATAGCATCCCAATTTTATCAGAGCTGTTAGGAAGCTTGGAAAGAATGCCTCATCTAGACATCTGTGGACAACAGCAAGAGAAAATTAAAGCACTGCATATCCTCAACGTTAAAGTGGATTGTAAAGAAAGGAAATGTAAATTGGACTACGATTTTGGTTCCCCCTGTTTTCCCTCTTACCTATTACGTTCCTTTAAAAAAATTTCAAAAATCTATATAATTGAGATCGGGTTATGAGACTAGCTAATTTTTTCTATTTTTGGTGGAGATGGGGGTGGGGGGTTGTCTTGCCTTGTTGCCCAGGCTGGTCTCGAACCTCTGGTTCAAGCGATCCACATGCCTCGGCCTCCCAAAGTGCTAGGATTGCAGGCGTGAGCCACCACTCCCGGCCTGTATTACCTTTCTTAATCACCATGGGGGAAAGTAAAAAGAAAGAACGGTGCCTGTACTCCATATATACTTGTCTGCCATTTATTTTCAACACGGAGGGATTCTCTCAGAATCCTTCAATGACCTCCTTCTAAAAGGCCCAAAGGAGAAGACAGGAACTAGTTTTACACAGCGGCTTAACAAAGAGCGCTGGATCCTTGCCAGTTCAGGGATTCCTCGGGAGTGGTTTTTTCAAGCGGCAGAACGCTTCCTTACCATCTACGAAGACTTTCTACCGGGTTTTACAAAAACGCAAACAGAAATGTGAGTAGACAGTTATAGGAAGAAATAAACACCGATTCCCAGGCTCTTTTGACAGAGGCTCCTGCCGGAAATGGCAGCCTGAAGAAACGGGGATCTCAACACTTTATTGCTAGTGTGATGGTTAGTGGGACGTTCAACTCTGCAGCCAAAGGACGGCAGGAATCGTTCAGTAACAATCGGTCTGGAGGCGAAAAGAGGCAAGGAAGACACGAAGCCCCTCCAAGAAGCGAGGCGAAGCGATGGAGAGGTGCGCGCCCCTCCTCTCTATGTACCTTGTGGGCACCAGGACCCGTGTCATGAGCTGCATGGTCCGCCGAGAAGTCGATGACCCCTCCCAGGTCTGCGGTCCAGGGCCGGCTCTGACGGTAGAAGCGGAAAAGTTTCCGAAAGGCGTCCTCCCCAGGCTCCGTCGCCAGAGTCACCACGGAGCCCACGACCGCCGCCATCTTCCCCATCTCGCGGCCTGTTCTGATCCGGAAGCAGATTCTCCCATATTCCGGATCCGGAAACTGTTTCTGGGCCCGCGACCCCAGCTAGAGAAGGCCCTTTAGTCTAAAGATGGCGGCTTTAACGGCCAGTGGTGCTGTGGCGCTGCGTAGAAATGTCAGCCGGCCGATTGCTTTTGTGAGAAAAATTCCTTGGACCGCGGCGTCGAGTGAGTGATGGAGATGTGGGAGATACGGAATTTTTAGATCCAAGTGATCCTCAAAGCTTATGCTTTTTACAGGGTACTTGTCAGCGTGGTGGCTGAATTAGGATACTGCTCCTGAGTATGCAAGTGAGCAGAAAGAAATTTTGTTTGCAATTAACCCTTTAGGGATGTCCCTTGAGCTTTTTGGGGCGTGAATGTACCGGCTTTTTGCCTTTTTTTTTTTTT